CATACTCAGCCCACTGAGGGAAGTATGCACGCACAGACAGAGACTATACAGCTGGTTCTCAAACATCTCGTTACCTGCAATGGACTGAAGTTAACCTGAAAATTTGGTGCCCAGTTATCTACATGTGCTAGTGGCCATGGGTGAGCGACAGAAGCCAACATAAAAACTCTTTGAAGGAAGATAACACCACTGTAGGCTGCAATTTCTTCTGCAATTTTGTGAGAGGAAAGACAAGTGGAATAGCCAGGTACCACCTAACGTTTTGGTCAGTGATGGACTGCGTATATGGCGCTGGCCCCCTAAGATCATAAGAGTTGAAAAACTCCTGATAGCTGGTGTGCAGCCACCATAGCATCACTGTCCCTGCATTGCTTGTGACAGTGCTGGGACGCACAAACCCACTGCCCCAACAGTCCCAGGAAAGTGTTGCATGTACAGCCTTGTGCTGCACACTTGATGAAGATGATGTGATCTCACTACTGGCTTCCATATTCAATACACGTTCACTGTGGAGAGCTGATACCTGTACATAACACATCTTAGTTCTTTCTTTATGCTTGTCCTTCCCCTCCTCCCCCTTCCTCCATCTCTTGGTCTCTTCCTTTTGGAGAAAGAGCTATCTGCCTACTTCTTAGTATCTCTCTTTTGTTTACATTTTAACCATGGCTTTAGTATGCACTGCTTTCAACTTCCACACATGTGCACACACACACATGCATGCACACATGCCATGAGTGCAGCACGGCCTCAGTCAGGCAGGGTTTCTAGCAGAGATTCCAGAGAAGGCACTGTTGGTAGAGGAGGTGGCGGGTTCTTATGCATTACTTCCGTGGAGGACCTTCTAAGGTGACAAGATATGAAGCTGTGTCACTACACAGATGATCCAACCAGGATGGGCTTAAGCTCATGTGTTTTACTAAAAGCTTAGAAAAAAATCCAAAAAATAGAAAGCACAAAAAAAACTGATAGAATATGAAAATATTTACAAACATTTTAAAGTTTTTAAAAGTAATGATTCATGACAACACTTCGCTTAAAGCGCCAGCTCATTGCACACAAAAACAGTTCTGTGTGGAGGATCGGAGATAGGGAAAGAGGAACAAGGAAATTTATGAGTAAATGCGGACTTCAGACTTCAGTGAGGTTGGAATCCCACGGAGGGCTGGCCAGAAAGCCTCAAGTACCTCCATCTTGGTAAGGAATTTTGATTGCAGTTGTGAGGTTTGTGGTTTTTATACATCACCAGGGGATACTGATGCTTCAGGTTTGGGGTTCATATTTTGCGATCCATTAAAGAATACCAGTTCTATAAAATAATGTAGTGTTTAAATCTATCTCAAATTAAAATCCATGCATACGTGAGCAGCTATGTTGTGAAAATGTTTGCCTGTCCAAATAGAAAGAACTCATGGTCTTTTCACTACAGTCGCCATAAATGGTGCTGTATTACTCAGATACTCACATAGAAAAAAATTCCTGATGCCTTTCTTATATTGTGAACTAAGTACAGTTCCAAGCGCCCTGCATTCTATATGCCAAAAACAATAAAACTTCTAGAAGGCGTGTTAGACAGTGTCAGAATAATTATAGAATACTCTTTAAACAGGACCCCAGAGCATTATCTCATCAATAAAATGTGAACTACCTTAAAACTTGCAGTTAATGAAAAGACACCTTGAAGAGAGTGCAAAGCCAAGCCAAAGCCTTGGGAGGTCATTTGCAATGCATGCACCCGACAAAGGCTCCTTTGCACTATGCTCCTATGTGCACATAGATTTTCCATGCAAAATCTGTGGAAATCCCCTGGCATACCAATCAGAGGATGGCAACCCGCATTTCCTTCCTCCATCCCTAGGAACCAAGAGATGATGCAGAAGAATGTTCCTGCACCTCAGATTCACAGCAGCTTCGAACTGAGAAGGGCGGGTTCCTATTGGCTGCAATGGAAAAGTGCACTGCAGGCTGTGTGTGACGTGTAATTCCACCTGTCCTCACCCAACAAGGAGGGGTGGGTGAGCTCACTCACAGTGCAGAATGAAAGCGGCCAATGGTAATGTCATACATCAAGTATCACACTCCTTGAAGTTCAGGCCCATGTAAATCCGAAAGTATTACTTTCAAAATAAAGACAGTGTAGCTTCCCTGGTTGGAAAGAACAGGTCTGGTTTGGTTTTGGTGTACAAGTAGAGAAGGATTAACAGTATAACCACTGGAAAAAGAGCCTTACAGCTTGTAAATATAACAAAATATTTTTACATTTAGGAACCAGGATACTTATATAACATACTACTATATAAAAGTAAACCTGTTTAATACTATTATTGATAAATAATATTAAAATTATACAGCTACCTATAGTTATAATGGGCCAACAAATTTATCTTCCAAATTAACTGCCAATTCCAAAAAACACAGTCTAAGAGTCTGCTCTCAGAGGGCAAGGTTAGTTTTTTTAAGCACAGTGAGAGATCTCAGCTTTTCCCGCACACGGAGGGTAAAGCAGTTAGTGGCTGCACTTCCACGAATGCGGCCGGAAGCCATGAAACTCCCAGTCCGCCATGAAGTACTTTCTCACTCAAGCACAAGAGGCAGTAGGAGCTAGGCACACTGTGAAAAGCACAAAGCTTAGATACTATTTAAATTTTAGGAAAGGATGTACATAGATGCTGTGCCATTTTATATAAGGAGTGGTGGCCTCTGCAGATGTGTTCTCAAGGGGCCTGGGTCCACTCCCCTTGGGCTCTGAGTGATGACACACATACGTTCCATCTGGGTGGTTTTCTCCACCTTCCTCAGTTAAAATACGACTTCTCCTGCCAAGAACAATCATCTGTCTGTGTGATTTACTACTTTCTCCAAACCCCACATTACTTTGCATTTAGTTAATAAAATGGTACAGGCTGTATGTTGGGGTTTCTATCTGTCGGCCCTCCAAGAGCTTCATGTGCTGGAGGGGTGGCTTGGTAGGAGCCTGGAGATGGGGGCTCCAGTGGACTCGGTGGTAGGAGCTGGGGTCTGCTCAGTAGAGGCGGTGGGGTCAAGGCCTGACGGGGTTTCTCTCCCTTCTCTGCTCACACCTTCATGCTCTGCTTCTCAGACCCTGTGATCCGAGCAGCTTTCCCTCACCATGCCCTCTGCCACAGTGCTTTTCCTCTGGAGCAGAGACCGTGGGCTGAAATGGGAGCCAAAATAATCTCCTCTTCCTTAATGTTAGGGAGGTGAGGCACTTTGTCTAAGTAAGGAGGAAGAGAGGAAGACGCGGTACAACCTCTGTGCCCTCCTCCTCTTCTTCCATCTTCTCCCTGTCTTCTGTTTCCTTCCTCCTCTTCTCCCTCTTTTCTTTCTCTGTTTTTGTTGTCAACGCCATGCCCATGAGATTACCAATGGGGGAAAAAAAGAAACCCAAAAAAGCATATGACTAATATGAGTGTTTCAAAATGCACCACAACCTGACAAAACTTCCTTACATGTGAGACCGCCTCCATGCACAAAATCCAGGACGACGCTCCGGCTCCACATCCAGGAAACCCAGTCAACATTTTTGCACGGAGGTAACTTGAACTCAGGACTTCACCCTGTAGTATTTAAGCCCAAATTGCTCTCTTTGGCACTCTCAGTATTACAGGTTGTGTTTTGGAAACAGAAAACATTTTTTTTTTTTTGATAAATCCATTCATTGTCATTCAGAGTGTAAAGACTGCTGGTGGTTCCAGAACACTCACGATTAAGAAGAGCCTGTGTCTCCCACTCACATTTTTTATGAACCAAGAAATGAGTCAAAGGCCCATGTTTCTTCCTTTGACTATCCTGTTATTTCGTCCCTTTTCATTTTCACCCTGTTCTGTAGAAATTTAGCAAGAGTTAACGGCTGAAAAGCTATTCATCCAAGTCCCCCAGAGGTTGGATTCTTAATGAGGGCTTTAGACCCGCTCTGATTTACCCTACATTAAATGCCTATGTTTTCCGCAAATGCAGGCAGCCCGCACTCTCTGCACTCCAAAGCCCCTCCTGCAGGAACCGGAGGTGGGTCACCGCGATCACCTTCTGCAAAGCCACCGGCGGGCCTGGCGGGTCCACACACAAAAGGCACGGGAAGGCGTGGCCTGGCTGGGCAGTGGGGACTCGGCGCGGTCCAACTTGGGGCTTGGACTACTTGCGCACCCGAGTCGCGTCCCGCCCAGCGCCCCGAGAGGCCGGGCCAGGCGCTGACGTCGCCGCGAGGTCGGAGCGGATAATTGGAGAGGAGTCGGAGGCGCGCGCCGTCAGGGCAGCAGCCGGGTGGCGGCGACAGGCGCAGGGCGCGCAGGGACCCTCGGGCACAGCCGGAACACCCCGCCGGCCGCGGGCTCACGGCCCAGCTCTGCGCGGTCCCCTCTCGCCAGGATGGCGCGGCCCGGCGCGGCGCGGCGCTGGCGCTGCGGGCCCCACGCCTCCCGCTGACGGCGGCCTCTCCCGGCCCACGGTCCCCGCCGCCGGCCTTGCCGCTCGGTGGCCGGGAGCGGTCGTCGCTGGCGCCGGAGCGGAGCCGGGGGATGGGAGCCGGGCGGTGCCGCAGTGCCGAGCGCCCCCGCCGCCCGCGCCGCTGGTAGGAGCCGCCGCTTTCTTCCTCCGGGCTCTGGGGTTCGTTCTCGCTCGACTCTGCACGACTCCTCGGGGGCTGCGCGGGCTCCTTCCGGGGACCCCTCCCCTCCGCACCCCACCGGGAGGGGAGGGCCAAGCCGGGCGCGTGGGGCGGGGCGGGCGCCCACGCGGGTCCGGGGCGCGGCGGGGAGGGCGCACCGCAGCGCCTCGCGCCCTCGTCCCCGGGTCCTGAGCACCCCCGAGCCCCGGAGCCGCCGTGGTGGAAACAGCGTCTGGGAATAAGCAGAGGGAGGACTGAGCTCCGCGCGCTCTCTCTCTGCCTGGCCAAGACTCCATCTCCCAGCGCGCCGGCCGGGGGCAGCTCGTTGCCACCGAGCCCGCCGCGTCCGCCGCGTCCGCGTCCCTGTCCCCGGCCGGAGCATCACCAGCAGCGACCGCAGGAGCCCCCGGGCCAGGCTGGGATGCGCCCGGAGGTCGCCTTGGTCACATTTCGGGAGCCCGAAGAAAGCGCCGCCGCCGCGGGCACGATCGCGGCCAGCCTGGCGAGGTGGGCTTAGGGTGCTTTGTTCAGCGTGCAGGGAGCCGAGGGCCGGGGTCGTCCCGGAGAGAGAAGCGGGCTAAAGGGGGCCGTTGTGCCGGGCGGTTGGGGAAGCAAGTTTGGCTCCCCTTTTTCAGCTCTGGGAGAGCAGGAGCAACAGGGTCCTTGATTGGACACGAAGAGATCATTTCCTGTGAAGAAGAGGAAGAAGAGGCAGCAGCCAGGCCTGGGGGCCCCAGGGTGGAGGCGGCCAGGCCAGGTTTACTGTGGGACCCTGAGCCCCGCTTCAGAAGGGAAGGCGCAGGCCAGCGGAACAATGACTCATTTACAGGCTGGCCTCTCCCCGGAGACCCTGGAGAAGGCCCGCCTGGAGCTGAATGAGAACCCTGACACCCTGCACCAGGACATCCAGGAGGTGAGGGACATGGTCATCACCAGGCCGGACATTGGCTTCCTGCGCACTGACGACGCTTTCATCTTGCGCTTTTTGCGGGCCAGGAAGTTTCACCACTTTGAGGCCTTCCGCCTCCTGGCCCAGTACTTTGAGTATCGGCAGCAGAACCTGGACATGTTCAAAAGCTTCAAGGCCACCGACCCTGGCATCAAGCAGGCCCTGAAGGACGGCTTCCCTGGGGGCCTGGCCAATCTGGACCACTATGGCAGGAAGATTCTGGTCCTCTTTGCTGCCAATTGGGATCAAAGCAGGTAAGCCCTCCACATAGCCTTGCGCTGACAATGCTTTTACTGGCCCATTTTCCAGAGCTTACCCAGGAGGCACATGGTCTTGCAGCTCTGACCTTGTGTATCTGGCTGGTCGAAGAGACGCTGGGGCTAAGGAATGAGGGTTTGGCAGCATCCTGAGCGGCGGGCAGGGCTTTTCTTCTTGCTTTTAAAACTCTTCCTTCACTAATACCCAGTTTGCATCACATCTAAGTGCTTCCTGAATCATGTTATTACGCTGAGATGTAAATTGCTTAACTTCTAAATAAAGCTACCACATTTTCCCCATCTAAGGAGTTTTCTGGTCTGGGGAAACGAGTAGGGAATGGAGGCAACTTTACCACCTTCCTCCTAGAGAGATTCTCCAACCAGTCTCACCCACGTCCTCCTCTGCATGCCTTAATGCTGACATTCTTCTGAGAACGTGGTGCTCATGGGCAGGCAGGTAGTTTGGCTGTGTGGGAGCTCTTCTCTCCGTGCTGTGTAGACGAAGCCTGACTGAGCCAGTCTGGTGAAAAGGAAGAGTTGTCCCCTCTGTCACAGAGCTTGCCTGGCGATACTGAAAACACAGGCTGACAGGGGAGCTTGTTCTCCACCTGTCACCGACCTGAGGAAGGTGTTTCCTGTCTGCTGTGATTCTCATCTCCGGGAAGTTGAAGGCTCGGCTGTGTCAGCGGGTGGCTGTTTCGCGTGGTTTTTGTTGAGTAGGGAGGCATCGTATTCTCACCCATCTGCACTGTTATAGGAAAATGTATGGGGACCCTTTTTATTCTTCAATCAGGATTATTTTCTCAGGCTGAAAGATACAAGAAATTATCCAAAGCTCCTGGGTAAGATAGCTTTAGTTAAGTTCAAAGTTAAATGCATGTCATGGGACCTAAAATTGTTATCCAGAGCTAAGAATCACAAAAAGCTGTTTCTGAAAACACTGGTGTATTTTTAGTTCTGTGAATGGTAGCTGTGGATGCATGTGGTTCATTTTCTGGGGGAAATGCAAATGACTTTTATAGTAACTGAGATATTTTACAGATATTCCATGTTCATGGTCAGGGTCCTGGATTTCTTGGAGGTTAGAATCTAAGTTAGGATTTTTAAATGTTTCTCCCTTTAACTGACCAATTTTCTCCTATAGATGGAGAGCTCTTTTGATTTTTTTTTTATTTTTTAGGTAAACACAAAAACAAACCACTACCTGAAAATCATAAAGTCTTTAAGAAACTCAGAATTAACTACTGGAAACAAATGGAGTTTCTTTACTTTGGTAGTTACAAAGACCTCACTGTACTTTTTATCAGGTGTCAAGCTACAAGTAACTCTCTTTAACCACATTGTTTTTTTAAAGAAGAATTTTTTATCAGCTATGTGCATTGTCTAATCATACAAAATAATGATTACACATTAAAATGGAGAACATTTATTTGTGAAAGAACCTAATGGTCCTATTTTATTTTTTTGTGTTTTGTTTTTGTCTTTTTGAGACAGGTTCTCACTATGCAGTTTAGATTGAAGTTGAGCTCACTTTGTAGCGCAGGCTGGTCTTGAACTTGCAACCATCTTCCTGCCTCAGCCTCTAGAGTACTAGGATTACAGGGGTTTACCACCATGCTGGTTTAATGTTCCTATTTTAGATTGGAGCATTTATTTATTTACTTGAATATAGTGGCATGCGAATTGTGGAAATTACATATTTGAATATATCTTGAATTCTATTATATCAATAGCAAAATTTTATTCAGAGAGACTTATTGTTTTCTGTAAGTGAAGCAGAATTCACACTGACTTACAAACTCAATTGAGGTGAAAGTTACAATTCTCAGGCATGTGGGAAGGTGATTATCCTAAACTAAAAACTATTTTAGTTTTCTCATGCATTCATATAAATGCATGGTATTAGTAACCAAAATCCCTCTCTGCAAATTATAATGGGAAGATATTTATTAATTGGCACTTGGAATTATTTTTATTAAAACTACATACAATTATAAATGCAGAGATATTGTTCATTTAAAATGAAAAATAAGCTGGATCTTATAGAAATATTTTATCAGGATCTATTGTTCAATAACTGTGATTTCTGTTTCTATGGTTGGAATTGAGCAACTATAAGCAAGAATTTATAGTACTTCAAGGTGGAAAAGAATACAAGCATTGTATAACTTGTCTAAATTTCAGTTTTTAAAACTCCTGTATTCTTAAAAAAATTTTTTTTTGTTCTCCTTCTATACCTGTGTCTCATCTTAGTTTCTTTTCTCTCATTGATGAGACAAAATACCTGATGCTCAAAATTAAAGAAGGAAAGATTTATTTAGCTCACAGTTTGCAGAGGTTTTAGTCCATAATGGACTGGCTCCAAAGCAGAGTAGCACATGGCAGAGGGGTGACAGTTCATGGCAGCAGAAGACAGCAAAAGCAACAAGAGAAAAAGATGGGGAACAAACCTCTTTTCTTGCCTTAAGTTACATGAAAGCCATCCACCCTAGGATGGATGTCACACTCCCACCATCTCTTCTAAGTCCTCCTGCACAAGCTCAGGATGCTAACAAAGTGAGGACCCTGGACTGGCTTAGTCACTTAGTTAAATTTCTAAGCTCAAATCACCATAGTGAATCAACCACTACAACATGCTGATAAATGGTGCATAAACAGCTGAACTAGGGCATGTCCTCTACATCCTAGGATGTAGAATTACTGAGTTAGGCAGTTAAGCTTCTAAACTTCCCAAACTGCCACAGTGAATCAACCATCATGTCCCCAAAAGCACATACCCCAAATGACAGGGGCCAGTGAAGGGCTACTTCTGCCATCCTAGAATCTGCTGTCTACGATTTCTCTAAAACATGTGCATCAGCAACATCGAGCCTTCTGCCCTGAAACAGGAAGGACATCTGCTTTTCCAGCCATTGCTGCTGTCACCCTGAACTCCCTTCTTCCACTAGAAACCTCAGGTTTTCTGACTTGATTCCCATGAAGTTTCTGGCTACTGGCCATCACTGCTCTGTGAGGCAATGTGCAATATGCACTGCCTTTCCCTTCTCACCCTCTCTGTGCCTGGTCAGGGGTCTCATTGGCCATCTTGCCCTCATCCTGCTAGGTTCACACCACTTGCGTGTCTAGAAAACTGCAGGTTTGCACAGAATTCTGACCACAGTTTTTGAGTTCCTTGAGTTGAACAACTTCCTTTTTTGAAATGTAATGATGTTTTCAGGAAATGCTAGGTGGGAAGTGTGAATGATTACACAGGGAAATTCTAGAAATGAAGAAGAAAATGCTTCTCTTTATTTGGGAACAAAGAAGTTATTTCTAATTTTCTACATACAAAGGAAAAGCAAAATTTTATGAATTTTGAAAACAGTTTCAAGGTTTCTTGAAAGAATAATGTATACAACAAAAAGATGGTACAAGAGCACCTGAGCTAGAATACATGACAAATGCTTGAGTTAAGAAGTATGCAACATTTTAGAAAAGAATTCTAAGTAGAAATTTGTCTTTTAAGTGCTTTCTTGCATTTTAAAGTTGTGGAATAATTTTCTGTGCTCCTCAAGGCATTGAAAATAGTACAGTTTTGTGAGATGGCCACTATAAATAAAATATAATATGAGTTAGATTCAGATTATGATAAAGAATTGGATTACTTTATCGGGGACCTGGCTAAGATCCCCAACTACTTATATGAGGGATACAGCGAAAGGATGAAGTAAGAAACCGAAACAAATTTAGTAATATATGACGGGGGCTGGGAGGTCAGTGCCTCAAGATGGGCAAAAACCCAGATCCTCCAAACCAGCCAGTATTCGTGCGGTGTGTGCAGTGCAATAGTTAGAGAATGATTCAGAGATTGGTGAAAGTTTCAGAGGTCCATGACTCAGCAGGCAACAGATAATCTTGATATGACCCAAGAGGGCGGAGATAAATTTATACTAAGAAGGCTGCTACCATAGTCCCGAGTCTCTATTTATTCCTTTGGGAAGTATGAAAAATTAGCCACGGTGAGTTTGGGTCCCTAACATTACTTTGAAAACCCTTATGAGACATGGGGTCCTCAGGAAGACTGAGGTAAAAATTATAATTTTTGCAACGGACCCATGTTCTAACAAGTCAAAAGAAAATAAAACTCTGAATTGCCAAAATGACTTTCAGTGTGGCTTGGGGTTCTTTAAAAAGAAACTGAACTGGCTTCCATGATTTGTTGCATGATTTGAGCAGGCTGTTCCCCGGAAAAGATTCACACGATTTCATCTCCTTTCAGATTGTCTAGTGCAGTTTCCAAAAGCAAAAGGAAGTGGCAAAGTTAGAAGTGGTTAGGGGGGTGCCCTGCATCAGGAGAACCCATTGGTCCTCACTCCTGCCCAAATGACAAAGTCCAGCATAGGACTGGGCAGAAATCTGCATGTCACCCAGCAGCCTGCATCAGAGAGAGGGAAGAGAATGGTCCAGGAGCTGAAGAACGGGCACTGCTTAGGGAGAGGAAATCCGGAAGGAAAGCAGGCTCTGTGGGCCCCAGGGCCTGCATGGGAACCTCATCTGAGGAGCTGAAACCCACCGGCACGTGATCATTGGGAATATTCCTGAGTGGAATGGTGACAGCTGAGACATGAGGGTGACAGGCAGGCTGAGTGCTGCCCATAAGTTTTCAGTTAGCAGCTGGTAGTGTTTTACCTGTATCGACCTCATTAAACGTATGAACTAATTTTCTATCCTGAAGTACAGCAGACGCCATTTATCAGGAGTCCTGTTAATGGTTGTTGGAAGACAATGAAATGTAACTAGTATTGAAAGGATGCTCACCATGGCAGGGTTCAGACAGCACTGATGGTGCAGTGTGGTCTTTGGTTTGTGAAAATGGACCTGGATTCTCATGGCACTGAAGCTCTGGGAGGGTGGTAAACGGATGTCCACGCGCTGCTGTGGGCCTCAGCTCATCCTTCAGTTGGCTTCAGAGACCTTCGCGTGTTTGTTCCCATTGTGTGGCTTTCTCTTTTCTTTTT